CATTTTACTGTAAAATTTCTAATTTGAAAGGATTGGGGAGGTACTCTTGCCCCATTAGGGTTTTCACAAGTTTGATAAGATCTATCTTCCCCCAACAAGAGTTGGTCTAATTGGGTAATACCTGCTGTGACCTAAACAGCTGCCTATTTGATAAATTCTAGGGAGGAATTCTGTTAAAAATGGAGTTGCCAAATTTGGAGGGCTAAGGGAAAGCAACTCTTTACCAAGGGATCTTAAAGGAGTCTAGAAAAAGTGGTGGCTTAAGGGTTTTTTTCTGTTTGTTTTGCCTGCATGCATCTGTTACACAACATACATCTAGGAAATCCATTTTCTTGCTGCATTCTTATTCTGTGCTATGGACTGATGCAGAACAAGGTTTTGCACACCAGTTTATTATAGAGTTCAGCTGAACTGCATAACGTGCTATTATGTTGGAGGCTGACTTTTCTCCCCCCAACCATTCAACTTAGTATAATATTAATGTGCTCAGCATTGGCCTCTTATTTTTCCCAACAAGATGGATGAGAACAGCTTGCCAAGCCTTTCACTTTCACTTTAATCAGAGAGCACTTTTAAATGTTGGAGCAGAAGGAGAAGTATTGGGAACACATCCTTCTCTCCCCCCCCTCCCCCCCCCAAATGGTGGCTATCCCATCCAAGAAATCTCTATCCTTACCTCTTCTTTGTGTGATTTTTTTTTTGCTATATTTAGACCAGATTGGTAAATAATTACTGTTAGAAAAGTTCTTGTGCTTTTCTGTAAGGGTATCTTGCATATCTTACTGACTCTTTTTTTTAAATTTTTATCCCCCCCCCCCCAACGTGTTGTTGTAGCTGTGTTGGTATAAGGACATAGGCAGGCAAGGGTCTTTGAGTAGATGTGAGACCAACTAAATAGTTGGAAAAAAGGTCTTTGCAAGCTTTCAGGCACAAACACCGTTCTTCAGGCATTGGGAGACTCTGCTGTTGTTCTGAGATTTCCAAGGTAGAAGAGAAGTTAAAAATGTGACAAGTCTGTAAATGTAAATAGGTGGAAGTTTGGAAGGCAGTGGGGTGGGGTGGGGAGGAAGAGAGAGAGAGAGAGAGAGAGAGTGTTTCCCTCATTCCAATGCAGTTCCTCACAATACCAGCACTTCTAAAATTGATGATATATCATAATGAATGTTATATTCAGAGACTGAACTGAATCAACATGTCTGGAATACGGTTGTTTCTAAGGAGGAGTGAATACTATTGGTTTTACAAAAAGCAGTACATTGTCTTCATAGAGAGCTATCTTACTTCACCCCTGATCTGACCTTTCTTTTATCTGGGAATTCTGCCTTATTGAAGTAGCCAGAGGTTGCGTGGTTAGTGATCAGCAGTGATGAACTAGGCACCTATGTCCACTTAAATATGTTTGAGAGGGTTCCATTGACTAGTGTAGAAGCTGTAGGGTCCTTCTCTAATGTAGAACTAGAGATTTTAAGTTTATTTCTAGGACAAGATTTTTCTAGTATAGCGCTCATACTTCCACTTTCCTCTGTAAAAGGCTTTTTCTGCAGAAGGTAAACACCCCTGAGTGGTGTTTTTATGAATATTATATACCAGCTTAGGTGTCCAGGTTGTAGCCATATTGGTCTGGAGGAAAAAGCGATTAAGGCTCATGGTAGAGGTGATATCTTTTAGTAGACCAACAAGGTTTTTGCAAAAAAAAAAAAATTTAATTGCAAGCTTTCTAGACCAGTATGGCTACAACCTGGATACCTGACACATGGAAGATATTGGATTTTAGCTGACTTTTTAAATAATCTTCATAACTTCCCAAGGAGGAAGCAACTTTAACCACCTGAAACCTGAGATACTGCTCCTGCTTTTGTTCAAGGCAATTTGCATCATCACAGAGCTTCACAAGAGAGCTGAGAGACTCCTTACCAGCTAAGAACTGCCTGCCCAGAGGAGTTTTCCATCTATTGACTCCTCTGTGAAATCTTATAAAATATGAACTTTCATGTCTATTCAGGAGAACTTTTACAATCTTTTTTTCGATGCCTGATGGAGGGTGTTTGTGCCTGAAAGCTTGCAATTACAGAATTTTCTTGTTGGTCTAACAAAAGATATCACTACCAGGAGCCCTGATTACATATACGAGCTTAAGGGCTCTTCTAAGGGTTGTGCAATTTGTCTGCCTACCATAAATCTTCATTGAGCTGGGTGCATGTATGTAAATAATATACCTCTAGTCTATTTGGCAACAGTCCAGCAAAGTGCTCCCTTTGGAGCTATACAGGAATTGCTTATTTTTTTTTCTCATTAAGGCAGGGGTGAATCCTTAAGTTAGCTCCAAATTGTTTGCTTTTGGGGGATTCTTTACTTTTGAGGTATGTAATCTTTTATAAATCTCTTAGAAAATTGTCTGATGTGATATGCCATCTCTTCTGAACAAGCTCCCAGTTGTCCCCCTACTACTCCCATAGGATTTGCCTTACTGTTCATTTTTTTTAAGCTTTGCAGCTATAAGTCTCTGCTTTGTTACTTTTTTCCACAATATTTTGTTTTCTGTATCTTAAAGACTGTTTTATTTTACTGATTTGCAGGAAATCTAGTTACTTCTCGCTTAGAAAATTTTCTTACAAAAATGTTTGTCTAACCTGCTCTTGAAAATTGCCAAGGATGGAGAGTCCAGACTCTCTCTAGGTAGCCTGTTCCAGTGCTTGACCACCTCATAGTCAGGCAGTTCTTCCTACCAGCCTAAACTTTCCCTACTGCAGCTTGAGGCCATTGCTCCTAGTCCTGTCCCTCATGACTACAGGATAGAAAGTCTCTCTTCTCTGTAATTCCCCTTCAGGTATTTGAAGACTGTTATCAAATCCTCCCTTAGTCTTCTCCTCTCCAGACTAAATTACCCTAGTTCTTTAAGCCTGTCCTTGCAAGTCATGTTTCCCAGGCCTCTAGTAATTTTTGTCGCCCTCTGTTGAATCTCAATCTGTCCACATACTTCTTGAAGCATGGGGCCCCCCAAACTGGATATGGTGCTCCAGGTGACACCTCACCAGTGGTGAATAGAAAGGATGAATTGCTTCCTTTGATTTGCAGGTGACGTTCTTGTTGCTGTAACCTGGTATACTGTTGGCTGTTTTGCAGCAGGACTGCACTGTTGGCTCGTACCCAGTTTATGGTCTACTCTAACCCCTGGAATTTTTTCAGCAGTACTACAGCCCAGCCAGTCATTCCTCAAGTCTGTATTTGTGCATGTAGTTTTTCCATCCCAGGTGCAGGTCTTTGCACTTGTCCTTGTTGAGTCTCATCTGGTTGATTGTGGACCATATTTCCAGTCTGTCCAGGTCATTCTGGAACCTATTCCTACCTTCCAGAGTCTCTGCGACTAGACCCAACTTGGTATTTTCCACAAATTGGCCAAGTATGTACTTGATCCCATTATTATCTTCATTAATGATTTGAATAACTCTGAGCCCAGGACAAACCCCTGGGAACCCTACTTGAGATCTCCTCCCAACTAGATATTGAGCTGGTACTTGTTGAGCACAAATGATGCAGCCAGTTATGTATCCTCTTGAGTTTTCTTTAGTCCGTATGAGCCTAGCTTGTTAATGAGAATGTCATGATAAATGATAGTAAAAGCCTTGTGAAAGTCAAGGTGCATGATCACATTCAGTGTTCTCCCTCCATCTACAGAACCTGTCAGCTTATCACCAAAGGAAATTGGGTTAATCGGGCTAATTTTGCTTTTGGTGAATGCATGCTGGCTGTGCCTGTTCACCTTGTTTTCCTTCAGGTGCTTCATCATAACTGATTCCTTGATGACCTGCTCCATGATCTTTCCAGTTGCCCAAGTCAGGTGGACTGTTTTGCAGCTCCCTGGATTCTCCTTCCCTTTCTTAAAGACAGGCACTGTATTTGCTGTTTTCCAGTTATCTGGGACCTTACCTGGCCTCTGAGTTCTCTAAGAGAATAGTCAATGGCTCAGAAATTGCTTTGGTGAATTCTTTCAGCACCCCATCCAGCTGCGTAGACTTGAAAGTATCTAGCTTCTCTAAATAATCCCTTACCTGTTCTGCCATTATCTTTAGGCTATTTGTCTCCTTCCCTATCTTTGCTGCGAACTGTGCTTGTCACCTGGTAGCAGCCCCTGTTTGTGAAAACCGAAGTAAAAAGAACTTTACTTGCGTTATCTGTAACTAGATTGCTTTCTGTATTCTGTAAGGGACCTATGGTTTCCTTGGTTTTCTTCTTATTGGCGTACTTGTAGAGTCCTGTTTTTTGCCTTTTATCTTCCTTGCTTGTTGCATTTTAAATGTTATGGCCTTTCTGTTCTTCTCCCTAAACACCCACGGGATTAATTATTGTACTCTTCCCTATACATATAACCAAGCTTTCACATTTTTTGGAGGGGCTTTGAGTTTCAACGCGCTGAAGAGACGGCTGTCTAGCCAGGCTGATCTCCTTTTGCACTTCCCATTCTTCTGAAGTGGGGGTTTTCAACATTTTTGGATCAGTGTACCCCCGATCGTCGGATGCAGAGTGGGAGGAGAGGTGGTGCGTGACCGAACGCGGAGTGATGGAACAGCCACCACATGCAAGCTTTTCCCACTCCCTGTGTCTGGGCGGGTGGCACCTGCGCGGCAGTGGAGGATGGTACATGGCGGTGCTCTGTCCTGCCCACCTGCGCATACCTCTTAGGGTCTTCGCAAGTACCCCTGGTTGATGACCCCTGTTCTGAAGTATTTGTCTATTAATAATGGCCTGGAAGCATGTGGCAAGTAAGATTGCTCAATGTAACTTAGTAGTTGTAGTTAAATACTTATACATTGCCAAAAAACTTATGTAGTATGCAGTAATGTAAAGGAGACTAAAATATAAACTATATTATTACTGAACAAATAAATGTGTACAGTATTTGATCTGGGTTTATGGGAAGTTTAACAGATTTTCATTGTTGGTTATATAATTTGTACGTGCATTTTCAAATCAAATGAAAGTAATATGTCTGATGGTTGCAGGATGGCTTCCCTGGAAGACCAAACGAATCTTCATTTAACTGCAGTCAAAGCACGAATTCAACAGGTATGTGTGTTATGATACTTTTAACTGTAATAGTTCAGCCAGATTGATTTTTGGGGATATAGGAAGTTTGCATCCTCAGACTTTTAAACTGTTATCGTCTTGACTTCCAGTGCAAACTTGGTTAAGTTAGGTATTTATGAAATGTACATACTGAGCACAAATTAGAACAGTGGTTAAGTCTTTTTTGTAAACTAGTGACTACCTTTTCAGCTAGATAATTTTCAAGGGTTTGGTGCAAGTACAAGGAGAACTCAAATTTTCGTTCTTGAGGAATATTAATTTTTAATGGTTTTACTTAAATAATTTGAGCATCTTCTAGGAACGAAGCATGATGATGTACTGTATTTACTTGAATCCAAGACAAGTCCACCCCCACATTTAACAGGGGGAGGGACAGAAGTCTCTTAACTTGCATTTGAGTATGGGGAAAGGGGCAGGCAGCTCCAGCCCCAACCTGGTGTTGAGGTCAGAGCTGCAGCTACAGCTTGACATCCCTCCCCACGCCGCCACCCTCCTCCTCCTCCTCTGTAGCCTGCTGCTTACTCTTGCTTTGGCCCTGCTCCAGCCTGTGGCACAGAGTATATGTTTGCTCTAGTCCCAGCTTGGATCAGTAATGGATGAAGTGGTGTAACGGGGTGGGGGGAAGGGTAGGAGTGAAATGGAGGGAAGGGCAGGTGCTAGGAAGCATAGGCATGGGGTTGGGGGCAAGTGGCGGGGTTGAGGATGCGAAGTAAGGGGCAAGGGGGAGAGGTCATGTTGCCTGACCCCCCACTGCTTGCCCCGCTACCACTGCTTTACCTGCTTCAGTGGTAGGGGGGACAGACAGATTTTAAGATGATCCTCCAATAATTAGCTAACTGCATGTATAGTAATGTCAAATCCAGCAGTTCTGAAGTGAAAACTTCCAGTCTCTGTTGTAGGGGTTCTGTTAATACTACGCGAGGTATATTTAACTGTTTCTTACTCTTGGTTTGTAAGGCATTTGTTGGGCAAGACATTCTTTTGCTGTAGTTCTCAGCCAGAGAAATATAAAAAATGACAGAACTATCCAGGTTTGCACTTAGACTTTGTTGAATGAAGCATTTTAAGCCTAACTTCAGACTGCTATAATTACAGCTGCTTGCAGGGGACGGGACGGGGCGGAACGGGACTGGCTCTTTTACTTTAAACCCAACGTGCTCCCATACTGAGCCCAGCGCATGCCCAGAAGAGGCAGCACCTTAGGTGTACCTGGCTTTCCCAACATCTGTAGAGATTGGGCGCTTTAGTGGGGCTTTTTGGGTACTTTAGCTAATAGCTGATTGAATTGGTTTAGGTAAAAGCTCAAAAAATCCCTGTTGAAGCACCTGATCTATATAAATGCTGCAGAGCCAGGTCTAAGTACCCATGCTGCTGCTTCCGGTAGAGCGTATTTGTTTTTCCCATGTCTGTCAGACCCCTGTGTTTTTACAACTTGGAAATCGCTGTTGTGAATGGGACCAGACTGAACCTGGGCAAGACTAGCAAAATGCCATTAACTAACTGCAAAAGCTTAAGTGGTGCAAACTGGGTTTCATAGCTCAAAGGAGGGGGGGGAAGCACCCTTTTTTATTAAGGATTTGTTGCATTTATATTGAAACATCTTAAAATAGTTAACTATAAGGTCTAATACTTGGTGGTATTGAGATTTAGGAAAATGCCCAAATGTCAATTGACATTTATCCTGAGGGAGCTTATAAGTAATCTAGGTCCTCTGTGTGACTTGCTCAGAATATATTGTAATTCAAAGATCTCAGTGTAGGTAGAGGCTATGTTTCAAATGTTAAATGTTCTAAAAGTCATAAAAATGTCATAAAAAATCAGATGTAGTTAGTTACCACCAAGATAAATTGATACAAAATGGGTGCTTGTGGGGTGTTCCCCACTTTTTCCTTTATTTCAGTGTGAAATGTTTAAACCTTATCTCAATCCACTAAATCCAAAAATTCAAACAAGTATTTCTCTCCCATAATTGCAATGTCGGATTTACATGGTGTCATGGAGCTCCCCTTGCTGGGCACTCTGCAAATCCTCTATCTAAAGAAAAACTGAAACCAACACTACTTCCTTTTAAAATCTTGTCCTTAGATAGGGCTGTCTGCTTCTGGACAGGTTGATATATTCAATCTAATGAACTTGAGTCAGTCAGCATTAGATTGAATACTTATAAGTCTACCAGTTTGTGTATCTACTAGGCTAGGCAAAACAGGCAGAGGACAGAAGAGTAGGGAATAAACAATTTCTAGGGATCTGGGGCATGAAAGATGAAGGATTGGCTATAGTGGTCCCAGTTCTTAAAAATGGTTTCCCAAACAGGCTGAAGGGAATACCTTTGGTCCATTCTTTTCTAAATAGGCATAGGTACAGGCTCTTCTAATTTTATTTATTTGTGGTGATTAGCTTCCATCTCTGCTGGATCCCTTTTAAAGGAATCCTTGTGAAACAGCCTTCAGAATGGTTTAACTTCTTGGCTGGGTACCTGCTGACCCTCTCCCTGGGGTGAAGGTAGAGGTGGTGCTGTTCATTTGTTAATAGCCTAACTGAAAGGATTTTATGCTTTATCTGAAAGTCTCCTGACTCTCCTGGTGCAAGCGACTGTGGAGGGGTGTGTGTGTGTGTGTGTGTGTGAAATTGTTGACTATGATCCAGCCACCTCGCACTTAAGAAAATAAAGTTGCATTATGGCTAATTTTTTTTGCATTTCACTTCTAATATAAGCAATATCTTTGTTTATTGTCTTCTAAAAGCCACTTCAACTCAGGCTGATAATGTTCTGTAAAGTAGATGTTATAAAATTGCTTGATGTCATAGGGCAGACTTACTGTTTTGTCTTTCAGAAGTTTAAAAGTGAGTCTTTTTTTGGCTTGTGTCTTATGTAAATCAGTTCATACATCCAGTCCTAATCTTAAACTAAAGCCATTGCCTAATAACTTAACCCCCTTTCCACATGAATGGTGGCAACATCCACAGCAAGCATTCAGAAATTGCCTTTTTTGGTTTTGTGGTTTTTTGTAAGCTCTGTGGCTGGTATATGGACATTCATTTATACTTTTATGGACAATTCTCTTATCAACTCAGCCTGCAGAATATATTTTCAAGGGGCAAAAGTTTAGTCCAGTGATTCCCAACCAGGGTGCTGTGGCACCTTGGGGTGCTGCCAGATATTTTAGAAGGGTACCATGAGGAGTGAGGAGGTAAGCAGACCACTTTGGGTTCAGAATTGTCCCTGCTTCATCAATTATCTGCCAGTTCCTCTGCAAGGAGTTAAGCACTGTAATTAGTTATTGAAATTGGGTGCCCCTCAATTCACAGGTTAGAAGGATACCACAAGTCCAAAAAGGCTGAGAGCTGCCAATGTAGTTGCTTGCTTCCAAACTTCAGTGGATGTCATAACCCCTGAGACTGAGAAGACCTTGCTAGCTAATAACCTGTAGTTTGCCTTTCTGAAGGTCCACAATGTGACTTCAGTGGCACTGTTTGTGAGTTCAATTGTGCGTCCAAGGGTAGTTCTAACTTTTTTCAATATTTTGTATATTTACTTTTCAGAAGTTATCCAGAAGTAATTTGTAACTTGATTACAAATATTAATACAAATTATAATGGGACAGATTTTTCAGATCAGTTTTATACAGCCTCAGCTTCATTTAACCAATGAAATTGGATTTAAAAAAAGTTTAAATGTAACAGTTAGTTACTTACCTCACCCTAACCTGTTAGGAAAGTGAACACTCATTTGATTTCCTTCCGCTGCCGCCCCCCACCCCCAGTATAGGCTATGTTTCCCATTCTAAAGAGCTGCATGCCTGCTGTTTTGTCATTTTTTTTCAAGCTTCCTTTTAGTTCTGGTTTAATAATGTTACTACATAAAACAGCTTGGTATCATGATAAAATTCAATTTATTTTGGGCCTTTAGGTTTTGGAAATATATGCACCTGGCCTCAAAGGAGTCGAAGTTTTAGATGTCAAGGTACAGTAGAAAATACTCACTTGATGGGTGCATGTGTAGTAGGCATGTGACTTTTTTTTCAACACTTGATGGGTGCACAGGTGAATATATTTTACATATACTACTTTATGGCCTTTGTTCAAAATTGTGTGGCTGGTGTGTTCTCTAAAGACTGCAGTATTCTTTCTAACTCTTGAGGCTTGGCTTCCTCTAATGAGATTAGAACCACCCCTCTAGCCTTTGTTTTTAATGCTTGATAGTGGTATTCAATGTGTTGAACACTCAGTGCAATGACTAGCAGAGATGTCTTAGCTCACAAAGTTTGTGTTCAGGTTCTTAAATGCATTTCATGAACATTACTCAATTGTTGGTTGAGTACTTTCAGATCTCAGTACTACTTTATGTGATTTGATACAGTATAACTTCATACATCTGGATATCAAAAACCTGGAATTATTGAAAATCCGGCACTTTTTTTTTAAACTACACTCCATTGGGGAGTAGCAGTGGCCAGTCCCAGAGCAGCAGAAAGGGAAGCCTGACCCTCTGCAGCCCCATGTGGCTACTTTGCCTGTGGCTGCTGCTCTGGGACTAGCCTCTGCTCCGGTTTAAAAAATCTGGAGTCTTTACGTTTCCGGCAGGTGCTTGGTCCCGAGCATGCCGGATTCATGAGGTTATACTGTACTACTGTCTACCTCAGAAATTTAGAGCCTTGCTTCTTGAGCACCAAAAATAATTGTGTCCAGTACAGTTTATTTCTTTATCTGTACTGCTTTGCATAGCATCTCATGTCAGAATCTTTTTTTTTCTTTTTTCCTTTCATTTTGTTGTTCAAATAAGAACACTATTTCCACTTCATGTACGCTGTGGAACTTTGTTACCCCAATTGAACTGGACTCCCATCTTCTAATCTGGTACTGAATTTTCTTCTGTGCCTTGATGCTTTTCTTTCATTTTGCCTTTCCTTATTTCATTGGTACCTTCAACAGAAAGGTAAATTGTTCAGTGGCTTCCCAAACTGTCATTGTGCTAGAACAGTGATTTCTTAACCAGGGTGCTGTGGCACTCTGGTGCCTTGAGATCCTTTTGGGAGTGCTTTGGAGTGCCACACAATGTTAGCACTGTTAGATGTACAAACATGATTCACAGGATAAACCTAGATTTCAACTAGGAATCCATAGTGTTAAAAACATTCTGACCTATTGTGGTCTTTCTGAGTTCTTCGCAACAGAATTGCTTTATTACTTCTCTGTAGTAAATAATCAAGTGAAAACTAAGAGCTGGCAATTTTCAAAAGGTGTCTTGAGTTTAGTGAGGGGTGCCTTGAACCTATGAGTGTGCCATGACTCTTTTAAAAAAAAATGGTGAAAACCACTGCAGAAGAATACCTGAAGATTGTGTTATGCTGTGAGGGAATGCAAAAATGTGCCACACTTGTTTGTATCATTCAGGAGACAAATCCTTCCCAACACCCTTCCAAATCCATCCCAACACTAGTCCAGAGTGCTTAGCAAGGGGCCTTTGAAGATGGAGACCACCAACTCTTTCACTCGTATGGGTGAATACTTGGCCTGCCTACTATATCTATCAGAGCAGCTTCCCTTCTGAAGGACTTATTCAATAAGAGATTTGCTAGACATTGGCTCTTTGGTGTATTTGAGGGTTGTATTCAACACTGGTATCTGTGGTACTTATGGAGTTGAAAGTGGTTGAGAAATGCAAGTGAATTATTTGGATAAGAAGTTCCAACCAACTGAATGTGCTGATGAAGGTATGGGAGCTGTCCGTATAACTTTTACTCCATACAAAGCAATGACTAGACAGGCTAGCAAGTTGGACGGATCGGAACCTGATGAAGTTCAACATTGACAAATGTAAAGTGCTTCACCTCGGGATGAGCAACTGCCAACACACCTACTGGCTTGGCTGCACCAAACTGACTAGCACCATGATTGAAAAGGACCTGGGGGTAATAATAGACCACAGTATGAATGTGAGCCGGCAGTGCGATACTGTAGCCAGTAGGGCAAATACTATCCTGGCATGCATCAATCAATACATCGCCAGCAAAGCCAAGGAGGTGATTCTTCTGCTCTGCTTGGCACTGTTGAGACTATAGCTGGAGTACTGCATCCCGTTCTGGACGCTGTGCTTTAACAAGCACATGGACAAGCTTGAGAGAGTCCAAAGGAGAGCCATCCTTATGATCAGAGTCTTACACAGCAAGCCATATGACAAAAGGCTGAGGGATCTGACACACTTCAACCTTAAGAAAAGAAGGCTGAGAGGGTACCTGGTAGTAGTGTACCGCTACACTAGGGGAGTACATCAAGGGCTTGGTGAGCAACTTTACCAGGGCATCCAAGGGGAAAGCTAGGAGTAATGGCCACAAACTCCTGGAAGACTGATTCAGGCTCAACTTTATAAAAAACCTCTTCACAGTCAGGGTGTCCAGACTGTGGAATAAGCTCCTTCCAGAGGTGGTGCAATCACCTACCCTGGAAATCTTCAAGAGGAGATGAAACAGTCACCTTGCTGTGGTCACCTGACCCCAGTTATCTTTTTTGCTTGGTGCAGGGGACTGGACACGATCTTCTGAGGTCCCTTCTGGCCTTAAAATCTATGAAGCTATGACTAGTATTGTTGCAAAGAGTATTGAATTTAGATGGGTGCTGGATACATCATTTTGAATTATGTCTTGACTGATCTGTGGAGTAAACAGTTGGGGTTCTCTAGTCAAAGATTAGACTGCCAACAACAGAAACCTGAGGCAGGCTGATAGATGATCAGCTGATCTGATGCTGATACTTAGGTCCCTGATAGATCCCATCACGCAGTTAACTTAACATGTGTTGTGGGATCCCAGCAATTGTGCTTTCTGCCACATGCATGGCAGGAAGTGCGATTGTAGGATCCCATATCAGATTGTGGACTCCCCCTTCAAACTTGGTTCCTAGCTGCTAGAGGTGCACCAATGCATTGGTTGCCTATCGGATTGGCACCGATAAACGGGAACTGACAATATCGGCTATTGTCTTTTTTTGGCCATTGTAGCCAATAATGCTTACTGATAATTATGCCTTCTGGCCAGGGCCCTGGACACCTGGGTTCCCTCTCCCCCATGGGGCTGGGACCCCCAGATGCCTGGGTCCCTTGGGAAATAGCAGGTTTCATAGACGTTAGGGCTGGAAGGGACCTCGAAGATCATCAAGTCCAGCCCTCTACCCCAAGGGCAGGAAGTCAGCTAGGGTCAAAGGATCCCAGCAAAATAAGCATCTGAGCATATCTTGAATGAATCCAGAGTAGGTGCCTGTGCCACTTCTGGAGGGAGTCTATTCCAGGTGTTGGGGGCTCGGACAGTAAATACATTTTTCTTATCTCCAGCCTAAAACAGTCTTGGAGGAGTTTATGACCGTTGGTCCTTGTTTTTCCTTGGGGCGCTCTGGTTTCCCCTTGCAGGTGGGCAGCATTCTAGCCTGCAAGGGATCCTGCTTGGGGCTGCCGGGAGCGGGATGCGGGGCCCATGTGCATGTGCGTGGCTGCACACATGCACGTGGCCACGAATACAACTGGGCAGCATGGAGAGGAGCTCTGTTCAGGTAAGTCTGTGGAGAGGATGGGGTTGGAGGGGCGGGGGCAGATTTGAAGCCCTGATATGGTGAGGGAGGGAAGGAGTGGGGCGGGGGCTAGGGGCACTGCCCGGCCAGGGTGGTGCATGCAAGCCAGGGCAGGGCGGAGCAATGGGTGACTTATCCTGGGAGTGGCTCCATGCTGCTGTGTGCACCCTTTGTGGGGGCAGGGGAATGTCTCCCCTCAGATTAGTGTGTGGGGTAAATGCAGGCTGTTTGCTGTGGGCTCGGGGCTCACTGCTCTGCTGCCTTTTCCCTGGGAGACCTATGCCAGCCACATGCTTTCTGCCCGCCTGGCAGCAGTGGGGGTGGTGAGTTGTGCTCCTGTAATAGTAAGAGCTTTGCTAATGCTAATAACAGGAGTTCTGCATGCTGATTCCATAGTAGGCCGGCGAAATAGCACGTAGTCTCCTGCTCTGTGAGCATGACCGAACCATGAACCTAGATAGTAGAAAGTTGTAATACAGTGGAATGTGGTAAACACCAGGTGTGTTGGATCACGACTCATCCCCAAATCCCTAGCTTGAGATAATGTTATTTACTTCAGACTATATAAGCTGTACGTTCTTGAGTTGCGATGGGTTCCTCAGCTCTGGCAAAAGTTCTGACTTGCACGGAGCCCTGGCGCAGACTATCGCATCCCTGGGATCGGGACACTCCGGGGCCAGGGGAACTATGCGGGGTGGCAGCTGCCGCCTAGGGCCAATGTGAAGTGACCATCCTCTCTGCTCTGTCCTATCACCTGCCTCTGCGAGTATCCTTAAATAAAGCTTTGCAAGGATGAGAACAACCGTGAGTATGTCCTTTGTTCAAGCACGGGGAATCTTCTGAACCCAGTAGTTCATTCTAAGACCGCTCCCCCACTGCTGGGCAGGCAAGGGGTCAGTGTGGGGCTCCAGGGCGAAGGCAGCAGGGCGGAGAGCCCCAAGCCCACAGTGGGCAGCTAACATGTGCCCTTGCACTTTTTGGCTCTGCTCCAGCCATGGTGGTGGGAGGGGAAGAGCAGGGGGGAGAGGCAGGCATGTGTCATCCTACCCTCAGCCCACCTGGATCCTGCCCTTCCCAGGGCCAGGTCATTCAGCCTCCCCTGTGAGGCATGGGGACTTGCCCTGCTCCTGGCAGTGACAGCACCAGGAGGAAAAGGGGCCTTTCCCCCTGCTGCAGTCTAGCTCCTGGGGCTTGGCTGTAGAGGGGGATCTGCCCTGTGCAGAGGGAGGAAAGCAAGGAGCCTGGCCCAGAGACTACTGAGCCAGGAAGGCTCACACCTTCCCCCTCAGCTGAGCTGGGCAGGCTCAGGGACGTGTCCCTTGGCACTTTTTTACATGTGCTCCAGGGGTGGGGGCAGCACTTTGATTAGAGGGGTTCTGACAGCTGTAATTAAAGTCCCATAGC